ATAGCAGGAATGCCTGGACTTTTCAGTAGAAGTCCATTTAATGTGGATTTTTATGTGTGAACTTTCCACCAAATCTATAGGAGTACTAATCTGAATATAGTGTCACACATACCTTAGCTATGGGAAAGCTGTAATTCATCCACAGAATGCCAAGTGGATTGCTGAAATATAGGCAAGACACAGACTGACATTTTTGCTCCTATCTAAGCAGCTTTCTTGGAAGAGCAAGATGACAGTCCAGAACATGTAACACAGGAAAAAAGAACAAAAAAAATATTTTGAATATATGAAAGAATGAATAAAAGTTGACTAATGAAATGAACTCAGGTAGTACAATATAATTAAGAAGCTTGTTACAAGAATTACAAGAGCAACACCTACAAACTATTGACACAATAATAATGACAAGGCTGTTTTCCCAGTGCAAGCTATTATTTCTTAAACGTCTTTTTTTGGATACTTTTCAGCTTGGCAAACATTTTAAAAGAAGTTGAAGTTTCCACTTCTTGCTTTTATCCTGATTTTCAGGTTTAAATTATCATGGTAATTCCAACCCATTTTGGAGGAGTGTGTGTGAGTGGAGATTCTACAGTAACTGGTGAACTTCGCTTACTACATGTTTCCTTTTATTTCTAAAATTATTTACAGCAGTGCTTCCCTTTGACCCTGGACTTGATGCACTTTACAAAGTGTGACATCATTATGGCTTACAGTTAAAACACAAGAAGGGGAAGGACAAGTAATTAACAGCATATTGAAACTGGATTCTTGGGAGGTGTCAGGGTGGCCATGACTGTTCTTGGATGCTCTCAACCTTTCTGAGTCTGCACAAATCCTATTGTTTGTTGCTGGAAGGAGAAGAGCCTTGTGTCAGCATGCATGCACTTCAGGATAGTCACATCTGCTTCATGCAGTTTTGATAGATGATCTCTGGATTGGGCACATGTTCTTTAGACTATTTATTGATTAGGCAGTCATTTGCAGCATGCTGTGCTTTAGCCAGCTGAGCTATTGGCCTTTTTTACAAAGCAGCTTGTTACATAGTACATGTTAGCTGGTGTTCTCTGTTGCATTTGCCTAAACCGTGCTGAGTGGGAGATTATATGTTTAAATGCTGGGGTTTCTTCAGATCTCTGTGTGCTTTCTTGGTTGCTAGGACAATGTTGAGCTAACATCCGTATCAGTTGACAATGGATGGGTCAGCCAACAGTGAAACCTATAAAACTGGGTCAAGAATAGTTCTGCCCAGCCCAGCAAGAGTGAGGCCTGAGCCAAAGGAAATAACCTTTTCCCTTGGCTATTCATTTTCTTATAAATGCTGAGCTTATTGTACCAGATTCATGAAAGGTAAAATCAAAGCATGTATGAGCAAATATAATGATTATTAAAACAGGAAAATACTATTGATATTGGAACAGCCTTTGGTGCTTTTAGGATAGAGTTGAACTGATCCTGAATTTATCTGGCAGTGTGTGAAAGCTGATCCACTTACTTGTAGTCCAGCTCTAGATTCAATAATAAGAACATTTTTTGAGAAATACAATGGAAAATATTACAGCTATTTTGAAACTACATCAGCTCACATATGTTCTGAAATATTAACTTGGCATGTTCCCTCCTGATTGCTTTGTAAAACATTCTCCTCTTCCTGTGACTGTCTCTACATTGGTTCATAAGGGCATTTGTGCTATTGATATGCATGGCTATTTTCTTACTTTTTATGCAAGTGCATCATGGAAGTACTTGATGTTAGCCTGTTTGTGCAGTGTGCACCACAATGAGTTACTGTTCCTGGTTTGTTCACAGGGATAGTGAAATAAAAATGACTAATAAAAATGGGACTGACCTTGTAAACATGAGTGAAGATGAATTCTTAGAGGATGGTTTTTTTTGTTGAAAATGAATGGCCAGCAAGTGAAGAAGAGTGGTTTGGGTTGAACGGAGTGTCTGTATTAGTACTGTTCTCTAATGAATGGTGTAGATTTCCATAGCATGAAAAATACTTTGTGTCCTTTTAAAAAAAACAACTTTTTTCCAATTTTAATTTCAATTGCTACTCTAATCCTGAATAAAAAGAGTATTTCTGCTTTGTATTCATTTGTTGGGGAAGGATCTATCTTCAGCCCTGCTAATCAAGGTACTTTTAAAAACTTTATTCTTAGGTATCAAGGTTCTTAAGAATTGTGTGTAAATACTTCGTTTTTGTTGACTTCATACAGGTTTCCCATTTCATTATTGGGAAACATGCCAGCTCAGAATTGGTTATAATATTTTCCTTGCAAATTTAAATTTTTTACCTTGCAAACATGAATAACTTCCAATATTACTTGTGTGGATATTGCCATAAAAACCATAGGCAACTATTCCAATTATTAAAAGTTTACAGGACTAGAATTTCTCAATTTCTCTCCTGAGTTTCAATCATGATACTCTTACAAATTCTTTTGCAATACTTTTGGAAGTGTACAATTAATGTTGATTGAAAAAAAAATATTCTTTAGAAGATTATTCTTCAGGAATTGTTGTAAAGACATTGAGATGTCCTGACTGCCTCCACAGAAACACCTTTTTTATTATAGATAATATTAAGTTTGTATTTTTTGCTTGGATTTCACACTGTTAAAATTACCTACTTGGAATATGTGCAGTATATTGGTTATTAAATGCATAAGTGGTTTTTATGGCATGTCTATTGCAATTTGTTGGCTTGCTGATCCTTCTGCTGTTTCGCTGAAGAATGGTAACAGAATTTGTGAGCTAAAAGATTTTTTTGAATTAAAGATATCTGCTTTTGTAACTTGCTGTGAAGTTGCTGATGGGTGGAATGTGTTTGGGAAAATAAAAGAGAATATGTGAAAATCTAGATTTGAAGATCTACATCTAAGAATTTCCTGCTTTCCCTCTCTCTTCAAAATATAAGACAATAAACATCAGTTTTTATAAAAAAAAATTATTGTTAGAGAATGCTCTACATTCTGGAAGGCAAAAAGTGGCACTGAAAAAAAAGCCAGATGTTCTTTGATGTCCTTGCTGAAACATATGAATGTACACATCAGGAGCTAGTCCCACTTCTGCTGAGTGAACAGGACACAAGCACAGCAGAAAATAGATCCCCACTGTCTAATGCTATCTCAAACCCTTTTAACTGAATGTGAATCCAGTACACCAAGTTATGTATTTTCTGGATCGTTTGATTTCGGTGAAAAATTCTTCAGCAGTCTGCTGTCATCTATCACCCGTACCCCACAATTCCTTGCTTCATTTCACTTAGTTCAGAGATCTTTTAACTTCATTTTCACTATAAATCAGAGACTACCCAATTCTACAGCAAATTCTGAGGTTCTTTTTAATAAAATCTGGCAGAAAGAATACCTTACAGCTTCTGTAGCCTTGTCTAAATAGAATGAGCTGTCACAAGCGGGTGCCTCAGGCAGTGATCTACAGAATCACACACAGAATCACAGAATGACTAGGTTGGAAGAGACCTTCAAGATCATCAAGTCCAACCCATGCCCTAACACCTCAACTAAACCATGGCACCAAGTGCCACATCTGGTCTTTTCTTAAACACATCCACAGATGGTGACTCCACCACCTCCCCAGGCAGACAATTCCAGTACTTTATCACTCTTTCTGTAAAAAAGTTTTTCCTTATATTCAGCTTATATTTCCCTTGATGCAGCTTGAGACTCTGTCCTCTTGTTCTGTCAGTTGCTGCCTGGAGAAAGAGACCAGCACCCCTTGACTGCAAGCACCTTTCAGGAAGTTGTAGAGAGTGATGAGGTCGCCCCTGAGCTTCCTTTTCTCCCGGCTAAACAACCCACGCTTCCTCACAGGGCTTGTGTTTGTTCCTCAGTTGTTCCTCACAGGGCTTGTGTTCCAAGCCCCTCACCAGCCTTGTTGCCCTCCACTGGACAGTGCTCAAGTGTCTCAATGTCCTTCCTAAACTGAGGGCCCAGAACTTGACACAGCACTCAAGGTGAAGCCTCACCAGTGTCAAGTACAGGGGAATGACCTCCCTGCTCCTGCTTGGCCACACTGCTCCTGATCCAGGCCAGGATGCCACTGGCCTTCTTGGCCGCCAGGGCACGCTGCTGGCTGATGTTTAGCTGGCTGTCACCAGCACCCCCAGGTCCCTTTCTGCCTGGGCACTGTCCAGCCACACCGTCCCCAGCCTATAACACTGCAGGGGTTGTTGTGGCCAAAATGCAGGACTCGGCACTTGGACTTATTAAACTTCATCTTACTGGACTCCGTCCATCCACCCAACTGTTCCAGGTCTCTCTGCAGAGTCCTCCTACCTTCCAACAGATTGACACACGCTCCCAGCTTAGTGTTGTCTGCAAACTTACTAATGAAAGACTCTCACCCATGTCATCAGTAAAGATATTGAACAGAACTGGTCCCAGCACAGACTCCTGAGGGACACCACTGGTGACTGGCTGCCAGCTGGATGCAGCAGTGTTCACCAGCACTCTCTGGGCCTGGCCATCCAGCCAGTTCCTAATCCAGCAAAGAGTGCTCCTGTCCAAGCTGTGGGCTGCAGCTTCTCCAGGAGTGTGCTGTGGGAGACAGTGTCAAAGGCATGCTGGAGTCCAAATAGACAACACCCACAGCCTTTCCCTCATCCACTGGGCACCCAAGGACATAACATAAAAGGAGACCAGGTTGGTCAAACATGATCTACCACTCCTAAACCCATGCTGGCTGGGTCTGATACTGTTCCATTACCTTACCAGGTACTGAGGTCAGGCTAACTGGTCTATAATTATCAGGATCCTCCTTCCCACCCTTTTTGTGAATAGGTGTCACATTGGCCAGCTTCCAGTCATCTGTAATCTCACCAGTGAGCCAGGTCTGCTGGTAAATGATGGAGAGTGGCTTCACAAGCTCATCTGCCAGCTCCCTCATCACCCTGGGATGGATCCCATCTGGTTCCATAGATTTATGAACATCCAAGTGGCTCAGCAGTTCTCTGACTGCCTCTTCCTGGATTACAGGAGGACCATTCTGCTTCCTGATGCCATCTACCAACCCAGGAGGACAGTTGTCCTGAGGACAAGCCATCTTCCCACTAAAGACTGAAGCAAAGAAGGCATTAAGCACATCCGGCTTCTCCTCATCTGCAGTCACTAAGTTTCCTCTGGCATCCAGTAGGGAACAAAGGTTGGTCTTACCCTTCCTTTTACTATTCATATATTTGTAAAAACATTTTTATTATACTTTACAAAAGTTGCCAAATCAAGTTCGAACTGAGCTTTGACCTCCGTAATTTTTTTCTTGCATGCCCTAGCACCCCGTTAAATACTTCCTGAGAGACCTGACCATCCAAAAGATGGTTCCACTTGCATGATTGAGAATGAAGCATTGTGCAGTCTTTCAGAGCTTGCAGCCAAATACCACAAGTAGTTTTGTGGATCTGGCTGTGTCCCCAAACCAGCTGGTTACATTTCTCCAAGGGTAGGGTACACTGCTGGGCCTTTTAACCAGCCCCTGGGCCGGAGAGCTCCAGTCATTGAGAAGGACAGGATGCAGTTATTTACTTCCAATTGTTCTTCGTACACCAGTTGCTTAATTTTACAGACAGAATATCTTTTTAAGTTCTGGCACTAATAAATGTGAAATAAGGTTTTTATTGTTGAAGAAACAACATTTATTTTGCTGTGAACCGTAAAGGGTAAAAATATTTTTAATTTTTTTTTTCTCATTTCAGCATGTTCCTTAAAGCTCCTCATACGTCCTACTGTGAGTTACTTATCTGATGTTACTTGGTGAATGCTGGTCCCCAAGTCAATAAATGTGGTTTTGGAAGCATTTCCTCTCTGAAATGAGTGTATGCTTGTCTTGAAAAGAATGAATTATTCACACCATCAAGTAAGCAACAGTAAATCTTCATATGAACAGCTTCAAAAAGTGATATGTTTAAATAAACTGCCCTTATAAATAACCTTTTACCCAGAGGTAGAATTATTTTACCTCTGAATGGCTGTAGGAACCTAAATATCATAAATAATATGAATAAACTTTCCTCTTTGGTCTCATGGGAACTTCTTCTCTTTCTCCAAAATAATAGAAGGTTTGTAAAATACTGATAGCAATAGACTATTAAGGTAGGATCTGTCTCTGTTTTGTAATCCACTTCCTTTGCTCTGTCTGAGCAAAACCTGCTCTGAGAACTTTCATGTATCAGCAAACAATGGTGCAGCCTTTTCTCCTTTTGGACAAAAAAAAATACACTTTTTTTTAGGTCTGAGTTTGTTGGATGGGCTGTCATGCACTTAGTTATACAGGGAAGCTTCATTTTTCCATGGTGCTCTCAACCATACTTATTGTGGAAATGTGACAGGGAGAACATGTATTTTTCATACAGCTCTCTACCTTTCTAGTTCACATCTCTGGGGATAGAATATACCTGGCGAAGCTTCATTACAGGATTTGCCTAAAGCCAATACACCCTTACAATAGCAAGAACAAGGCTACCACATCAGAAGTTACATATTTATGTACTTAGAATATACATTTCACTTCAAAATTACTATAGTCCAATGAGACCCAGAAAACAGTGTTGACTGAGTTGCAGTTATGGTATAAAGGAGGAAATAATAACTAGGATGGTGAAAATGCTGTAGAAGAGTTTAAATTGGTGCAGATTACAAAACTGTAGTAAATCTTTTGATATCTATATATATATGAAAAATAAGGAATGCACCACTGAGAAAATAACCTGGCATGTGAATTTTTACTTTAATTGCAGAAAATGAATGAAAGGGCTGCTTCCTTTAGAGGGAAAAGAGTCAGACTGGCATTTAATTGAAGGTACTTTCAGCCAGAAGCATGAGAGATGTGTTTTTCATTAGTCCCTAGTGCCTTCAGTTGCTCTGGTATGCTAAGAAAGCAAATTTACAGTAGGAATTAACTTACTGATTTATCCTATTTCTGTGAATGCTTGTGTTTCATGTGTGTAAACACATTTCTTTCCAAGCTGACATGTCAGGACAGTGGAGACATATGGACCTGATGAATGGTCAACAGCTCAATGTCTGCATGGAGATCAATGATGAGTGGTCTCCTGCATGAAGAGAGAAGAGGGAGAGGAGAGGAGAGGAGAGGGAGAGGGAGAGGGAGAGGAGAGGAGAGGAGAGGAGAGGAGAGGAGAGGAGAGGAGAGGAGAGGAGAGGAGAGGAGAGAGGAGACTCCATGTGGATCTTCTCTTCTTCCCTGTGACAGTAGATACAGTGAGGTGAAATGATATGCTTTCATGGAAAAATGACTTGTCTGTGGCTCATCTAATTATAAAAATCAAAGAAACAAAATAAAATAATATAGGATAAAATAAAATCACAGAAAATTTTACCTCANAAGAGAAGAGAAGAGAAGAGAAGAGAAGAGAAGAGAAGAGAAGAGAAGAGAAGAGAAGAGAAGAGAAGAGAAGAGAAGAGAAGAGAAGAGAAGAGGAAGAGAAGAGACTCCATGTGGATCTTCTCTTCTTCCCTGTGACAGTAGATACAGTGAGGTGAAATGATATGCTTTCATGGAAAATGACTTGTCTGTGGCTCATCTAATTATAAAAATCAAAGAAACAAAATAAAATAATATAGGATAAAATAAAATCACAGAAAATTTTACCTCACAGATTAATGGAGTCATTGTTTTATTTGCCATGCAGACACTTGCACTCAGAGGCTTAGAATTTATGTATTGAGGAATAATTTACTTAGAATATTTTCACATGGTAGTATAAAAGAATATGTAGGAGAAGGCAACAAATGAAGGAAGCAGTGAGACTGTTAATGATACCGCAAAAGAAGGACTCTTCTTAGGTTCCAAGTTTATGCTTCATTCATCTTTTAGGAAAGATCTGCAGCAAAAGAGGATGAAGAGGTCAGCTTTCTGGATATGACACTATACCAATATTAGACAGTGATGAAGGATACACTCTTTACTGTCCTGCATCATCAGGCTCAGGATTATTAAGAGCTACAAGAACTTTAAATTACAGCATTTATAAGAACTGACTGCAATATATTGAGTTGATTTGAAAATTGTCATTTTTACCTAAGTCTACACACTCAATTACTAGATGATTCAGGAGAGCATCACATAGCTAAAAGTTTAGACTGAAGCCTGGAAAGAAAAACAAGCAGTGGATATAGCAATGTTCTTCTATTGCAAGTCTTGTTTAATCTGACTTTGAGGGCTATTTTATTTATTTTTTTTTCAGAGGTTCATCTAGTTATAGTGCATTTTTCTTAGCAGAATTGCAAAGAATGCATTTAGGAACTGTATTCCTACCTTGCTACTCTTTGCGCAATATTCCCTTTATCAGCTTCTTCCCTTCTGGAGCAAGCCAGGTTATTTTGCTGAATCAGAATAAAAAGTTTATAGAGGCCTGTTGTAAACCGTGTGCCAATACTTGAAAAAATGTAATGTTAAGAGTCTAGTATCTGAAGAGCTCTTTTTTTGCATAGCTTGCTTTTAGACCTTTAAAAAGCTTTGGTGGGTATATCAAATAATATTTAAGATGTAAAGAAGCCAGTAACACCATACACTTGGAGTTATATCAATATTTAAAAAGCCATCTTTAAAATATAAGGAAAGGAATTGACCTCTGGAGCTTGCATGATTCAGTGCTGCTAACATTTCAACTTTCTTCTGCTGTTGAGCTCCTCTGATTTTAAATCTCTTTAAAATAAGGTTTCCAGATTTGGCACTGCCTGGTTTTGGTTGCATCTGAGAAGCCTTACACATGTATTGTCAAATAGGCAATATTATGAAATAATTTGAATGAACTGCTGCTTGAATGTACTTCTCAGATAACATGTGACTCTTGAAAGCATTTGGAATACAGATTCTTCTCTGTGTTTTGTTCAACTCATCACAGGTTTTGAAGTCACTAAAGAGGAAGTCAGGTAAATCTGAGATTTCCATTTTTCAACAGTCCTGAACTTGACTGCTATTTTATTACAGGCTTTCAAAACTTCTTACAAACTGAAAACATGAAGAAGAAAAAGGATTGGCTACTTTGGCGAGTGGACATTGGCAAGTAGACAAACAGAGATCTATGTTTTTTGCCTTCTTAAAAAGGATTTATGCTGTGATACAGCCCTAAGCATTCCCCTCCCTACCCTCCAAGGTAATTGAACAGAAAAGAATAAAAAGATCTAATAAGGCTCAGAAAATTTTCAACCCTACTTCATGGAATGCACTGTCTAATTACTCTGGAATATCTCCAGGTCCAAGGAATTCAGACAGCAGCTTCTCACAGATGGCATATAAAGGAAATCTGAGAAGATACTTGGATTAATTTCCTCTTCTTCTCCCCACCCTGTTTCCACAACACAATGGTGGGTCATTCCTCTGAAAGCACCACACCCATACCCACAACACCCCCCAAATTTCAACCTCTGATGCATTAAGTGGAATCAAGGTCAAGAATAACATTTCATCTGTGTAAAAAGAGAGGTGCACACATAATACAGTATTTGTATCTGCAAATGGCAGCTGTGTTTCTTTTGTAAAAGCTGCCTGTTGGCTTCCTCTACCTATTGAAAACAATGGCATTTAGGCTTGTCAGGAGTCCACAAGTGTCTTCTAGTCTCAAATAGAATTCTTTTTCCTAGTGTCTAACTTCTTCTAGGACACCTAGAGAAGGTGCTGTATATGAAATCTAAAGTTCAAGTCCATATTTTAGTTCAGATATGGAATGGAAGAGACAGAGAGTCATTGAATGAAAATGTAATATTATAAAGAGGATGGACATTAAAAACAGTTTTAGGAGAGAATAAATTAATCAGACAGATTTTAGAGATTAATTTAGTGCTAAGTTAAGCTCTTTTTGAATAAGATTATATATTTGTGCTACAAAATTGATGTTTCTTAAAACTGGAAGGCATACTTTTAACCCAGTACTGAACATTTAGCACTCCCATTTTCTACCTGCCTCCATTCATATGATGAACTAGCTATTATACAACATAGCCCAGTTTGACTCTTGAGTCTCAGTTTATAGATCAGTGTTTCCTGTGGGTTTTTTTTCTGCTGGTCTGTATGAAAGCTTTTGACGTGGTCTTCATCTTCTTTAAATTATGAATAATAGTAACAAATGAATGTGATGTATTTCAAGGTCATTTAGTTGAATCTTATAGATGTAATGTGGATTTTAATAAAAAATTAGGTAGATTTGGGGCAATGGCAAAAGTGATAGAAGAGTTGAGTCCCTGAACTCCTGCATACTGAAGTTGTGATCTGCAGAAAATTAATATGAATGCTCCACTTGACTTTTTAGAAGTTGCATCAAGAGTTTAAGTCAGTCATCTACAAATAAATACCAAAAGAAAGGAAAGACATAAGCAGATTTCCCTGCCTTTTGTTTACAGGTTATGAAAAACTCATCTTGAATTTTTATCCAAGGACATTTAGGCTAGACATGCCTGTCAGTCATTATAGACTAAAAGATTAATTTAACACTGATGGCTTACAGTCTGTTTTCCTCCCTTCATTTTTGAGAGATTTGATATTCCATTGACTGGCTTTTAGTAACCACTATAAGCCAATTAATCTCTTTATCTCCATTACTATAAATGGGTCTTTTCTGCTAGGCAAGCTTTTCTATCACATTAATACATTCTCTTTTTTTTTTTTTTTTTTTTTTTTTTTTTTAAAATTTTTTTTTTTTTTTTTTTTTTTTTTTTTTTGAAAGATACTCCTAAACAGTCAGTTCTTAAATTGCTTAGATACAGTGGATTTTTTGCAACTGAGTAATTTTGGTCTTCTTTGAGAAATCCACAGCATACAGAAATAATGTTTAT